CTGTTCATCCAGCTCTAACCTTGTTATCTTTCTTTTTCCTGTTCTGATTAGTTTAGCTGGTTAATCAATAATTTAAAACGGTACAAGCTAATAGGAGTAAGTGTGACGACCAGGAGGATTGAGGGAGTTATGTTTCCAGGTAACGAGAAGATAACAACAAAGGAATAAATTTAATCTAATTAAGACAGCACCAACTTTCACTTGCAGAAAGCAACCAGAGCAGTTATCTAATGATATGTTAAATGGAGAGAGATTGGGGTGGTGGATGAGACTTGAATTGAAAGACTATACCACAGTGCATCTGTTGCTGCAGATACCTTAGTTCGTTTTAAAACCTCGGAGTGCTGGACAGAGTAGCATTTGCTGACAGAGCGATTTATTCAGTACTGTAGATTACACAACGACTCGAGGATTCTTCATACGGCGGTGAAACCCATTCTACAATAGGCAACATTCAAAATCTCCATTCCCATTCTCTACTGCTTCTCTCTTTATGGGATTTTTTTATGGTTACCAGATGCATATTTGTAGTACATGATGTCTTTGGGCCTGTAACTGCTGACCATTGCTTCTGGCCTTTAGCGGGCCATCACTTCGTTTACTCACCCGTCTCTCAGCAACAGAACGCACGCCCATAGCCAATCACATCTGTCATCTCATCTCTGTGGATTACACTGGCACTTCAGCTGGTCCAATCAGCTCACTCGTTTCATTGGTCTGCCCCCAGCGCTTTGGATGCTGGGAAGAAAGGTACCCGATTGTTTTGGGGGTGGTTTCGGCCGTTTGAGTGAATTTGAACTTTTGAATTTGATAGCAATTTATTATTTTTGCTTCATTTCTGTCGGAGGAAGTGAACGATTTGAAAGGTATTTGTATAATCAGTAATTCATTCCTGATTAATTCCCTTTTAGAGGCGACGGTTCGCACGGTAGGAGGTAGTGAGATTCTGATCGCAGGAGTTTCTCAACAACCGTTTTGCTTCCGAGGCACCATGTCTCCTGAGTTTTAAATATTCAGCAGTCACTCAACACAAGTACATTTTCTGCATAAAAGTAGTTACACGATTAACCATTTGCAGTTCTGTTTAATGCAAAATGTATTGTTGATGCCGAAATATAATCTGCATGGTTATGCTGAAGTTAGTACATCGTTGTAGCGGTCAGTATATTGTCGTGGAGGTCTCGCGCGTTAAACAGGAGTTTCTACGTGGAAAAGGGTTGAGGTTCTTGGGCAGATTTTTTAACACCATGTTTTGGGTTGGCGAATGACTTGGTTTCACTCAAATTCAGTGGATTCTGCGATGTCTAGTTGAGTCCATACACGATCATAACACACGTACATACAAGTCCTACTGAAGGGGCAAGTAAATAAGGTTTGAATTTTGTACACGCCAATGTCTCGACTTCCCCAACACCCCTATGCTCCTAAAAAAACCCAAAAGAACTGCGGATGCTGTAAATCAGGAACAAAAACAAAGTTGCTGGAAAAGCTCAGCAGGTCTGGCAGCATTTGTGGAGGAGAAAACAGCGTTAAAATTTCGGGTCCGGTGACCCTTCCTCAGAACCCTATGCTGCTGTTCGGTGTCTTCCCGAAGGTTCTTTCTGATTCGTCACAAGGCTGGGACGCTCAGGAATTAATTGATGGCAACGTTTGATCTGTTCAGGAATACTTTTGAGAGCGTTGCTGAAAGTGTTTCTCCCGTGCTCCTGGGGGTCTCCTACCGCCAACAGATTCTGAGCAGGGGACAAAGTAGCAGTACATCAAAAGAGGTAGTAATCTTCAGATTAAGGCAGCAATAAGTAGAGGGATAGAAAGAATGAATAGATGGCTGGAGAGATGGTGCAGGAGTGGGGGACTTTAGTTTTTTGGGAATTCAGGACTGATTGAGGAAACTATTCTATATAGGCTCTACACATAAATCTAAACAGAGCTGAGACCAATGTCCTCACAGGCTGGTTTGCAGGGGAGCAGGAACCAGTACATAGCGTGAGAGTGAAGAAACAAGACACACAAGTGAGAGTGAAGAAACAAGGGGATAGCAAGAACTGCAGATGCTTGAGTCAGAGACTACACGGTGTAGAGCTGTAGGAACACAGCAGGCCAGGCAGCATTGGATGAGCAGGAAAGTTGATGTTTCAGGTCAGGGCCCTTCTTCAGAAGTGGGGAGGAGGAAGGGAACTGGAAGGTAAATAGAGTGGAGGGCTGGGGAAGGTAGGTGGGATGGTGATAGGTGAATGCAGGTAGGGAGTGGTGGGGATTGATCAGTGGAATGGTGGGAGAGAAGATAGACAGGTTATGTCAGGTCAAGCAGGCGGGGATAAGAGGAAGGGTTGGACATGGGATGAGGCTGGGGGTGGGGAGATTTTAAAACTGGTGAATTCCATGTTTAAGCCATCAGGCTGTAGGCTCCTGAGGTGGAATACGAGGTGTTGCTCCTCCAGTTTGTGTGTGGTGTCATTGTGATACTGGAGGAGGCCCAGGATGGACATGTCACCCAGGGAGAGGGAGGGGGAGTTGAAATGGTTGGCGACTGGAAGGTGTTGTCGTTTATCGCGTACAGAGAGCAGGTGGTCTACAAAATGGTGTCTGAGTCTACACTTGGCCTCCTCTATATCAGTGAGACCACATCGGGAGCAGTGGATACAGTAGACCAAGTTGACGGATGTGCAGGTGAACCCCTGTCTGATACAAAAGGTTTGTTTTGGGCCTTGCATGGAGGTGAAAGGGGGAGGTGTAGGGGCAGGTGTAACACTTCCTGAGATTGCAGGGAAAGGTGCCGGGTGTGGTTGGGTTAGTGGGAAGTGTGGAGTGGACGAGGGAGTCGTGGAGAGAGTGGTCCCTACGAAAGGCAGATAGGGGTGGGGAGGGAAATATTTCTTTGGTTGTGGCATTGGATTGTCGGTGGCGGAAGTGGTGGAGCATAATATGCTGGATGCCGAGGTTGGTGGGCTGATGTGAGGACAAGGGGGATTCTGTCTTTATTTTTGTTGGAGGGAGGGGATGTGAGGGCAGAAGTGTGGGAAATGCAAGAGATGTGGTTGAGGGCATTTTTGATCACCAGAGGGGGGAAGTTATGGTCTTTGAAATAGGAGAACATCTGGGATGTTCGGGAATGGAACGTCCCATCTTGGGAGCAGATGTGGCAGAGGCGGAGGAATTGGGAGTATGGGATTGCATTCTTGCAGGAGAGTGGGTGAGAGGAGGTGTAGTCCAGGTAGCTGTGCTAGTCAGTGGGCTTGAAATAGATGTCAGTTTCAAGGCGGTCACCAGAGATTGAGAAGGAGAGAAAGGAATCAGATGGTTCAGGTGAATTTGAGGTTGGGGTGAAAGGTGTTAGTAAAGTTGATGAACTGTTCAAGCGCCAATACAGTCATCGATGTAGCAGAGGAAGAGGTGAGGGATAGTGCCAGTGTAACAGCGGAAGAGGGACTGTTCCATGTATCCTACGAAGAGGTAGGTATAGCTTGGGCCCATGAGAATGCCCATGGCCACCCCCTCAGTCTGCAGGAAGTGGGAGGAGCTAAAGGAGAAGTTGTTCGGGGTAAGAATGAGGCAGTGATGGCAATATCATTGTTCACACAAGGGATTGGAGAGACAGTACTAGAGTAAGAAACTGTAGGTTACTTGGTCAAGTTCAGACTGACAGGGGATACAGTGATATCTAAAATTATATTTGTAGAGTGTATGTAAATACATGGAAATTGGTAAGTAAAGTTGGTTAGTGGAAGGATAAATAGCCATTTGGGATGCTAGCCATTTGGGTTCAAAAAAGGATAGGAGTCTATATTAAAAAACAAATTCTGAGTACAACTGTTACAGAAGGATGGCAGTGTTGATGAAGAACAATATTAGTGCTGAAGAAAGGGTGTTCAAGGACAGAATATATTCAATTATAGTTAACAGTCAATAGAGGTATCAATTTAATATAACTGTATTCTATCAGCCCCTAACTAGTTTCAAAGGTAGGGGCGAGAAATTGCATAGATGTGCAAAACCTATGGAGTATGATAATGAAGGACTTTTACTATCCCAAACAATTAAAGATGTTTAAAAAAAGACAAAGTTACCATAGTCCCACTCTTTGAGAGAGGGACAACTGGTGGTTGTTTAACTGGAGGGTCCTTGCCTTGGGTCGGAGGAAAGGTTGAGAAGGTAGGACTTTCATGGCAACCTCAGCCAATACAGGAATTGAACTTGTGCTGTTGGTGTTACTCTGCATCGCTAACCAATAATCATAGCATAAAAGTTGGCGGGGGAAGAAGGAAGAGTTCTGGAAGTTTATTCATGAGAACATTCTTGATCATTTATGTTTTCAGCATGAGAAAGTAGGCATTGCAGGATGGTTTCTGGGGAATTAATAGCCACTTAGACAGATAAAGTAAGGCTGGTGCAGACTTGTTAAAGACAATTCATGTTTAACTAATTTGTGTTTATTGATGAGGTGACTGACTGAGGGCAAGTGGTTTACATTGAATATGCATTTTCACAAGGGGTTTGATAAAATGTCATGTAATAGTTTTGCAAGTAAAATGGAAGCCCATGGAATGAAGAGGAACATTGACAGCTTGTATATGAAGTTACCTGAATGACAGGAAGCAGTAGTGATAAATAGTTGTTTCGATATTGGAGGAAGATGAACAGTGGTGTTCTCCAGATGTTGGTACTAGGACCACTTTTTCTTGATAGTTATTTTAAATAAACAAAAAAACCAACTGACTCAGACATGTTATGACAAGACTAGAGTGTACAGGACAGTTTCAAAATTGACACATAATCAAAAACCAAAAACTGTCAAGATGATGGTGATGGACTTCAAGAGATCCTCAGGATTATGTCCTGAACCCAAAGATGTTCCGATGCTTCAATAATCTTCCCTCCATCATAAAGGTCAGATGTGGGGCTATTCATAACTCCTAAGATATTGAGGCAGTACGTATCCATATGCAGGTAAGTGGGATGTAACATTTTGCACCACACAAGTAATCATCTACAATGAGGACATCTAACCATCTTCTCTTGACATTCAACAATATTGCCATCACTGCCTCATTCTAAATCTAATTGAGGGTCACCACTGACTGAAAACTGATTGGGACGAGCCATATGAATATTGTGGCTAGAAGAACAAGCTAGAGCTTGGCATTCTGTGACAAGTACTTCACCTACTGACTGCTCAAAATCTGAAGGCTTTAGACAGTAGATAGAAAGAGACATTGACAGAAGGGTTGAAAATCAGATGGGCCACCAGTTTAAGGTGATTGGCTGAAGAGCCAATGTTGATACGAGGATGAACCTTTTCTTTCTGAAGTGAGTGGTTAGGATCTGATGTAATACTTTCAGAGTGTGGTGTTGGAGGAAGATACAATCAAAGCTTTCAGGAAGGAATTGGAGGTACCCCTGAAGACAGAAAAATTTCAAAGCTATGAGAGATGGGTGAGAGAATGTTGAAGAAATTGATTTGTACTTGAGTTTGATTCATTGTTGTCACATGTACTGAGGTGCAGTGAAAAGTATTGTTTTGTGTGCTATACAGGCAGATTGTACCATACAAAATGCATCAGGGTAACAGAACAGAGTGCAGAATACTCTGTTACAGCCACAGAGAAGGTACAGAGACAGAGATCAGAATTAACATTTGAGAGGTCTGTTCAGAAGTCTGATAACAGCAGGTAAGAAGCAGTTCTTGAATCTGTTTGTACATGTATTCAAACTTTCATATCTTCTGCCCGATGAAAAAAGGTGGAAGAGAGTATTACCGGGTGGGAGGGTCTTTGATTATGTTGGTTGCTTTCCAGAGGCAGCAGGAAGTATAGATGGAATCAATGGATGGAAGGCTGGTTTGTGTGGTGGTCTGGGCTGTGTGCAC